TGTTGGCGTGGGATCTGTTTTCACCACCTCGTATGTTTTGTTGTCACTAAGCATGGTGGTTTTCTATTTCTCATATTCTGCTTTGTCCATAACGATGGTGGCAATGAAGGGGATGGGGTATTCTTAACTAACAAGGTAGAATAGGTCTGCCCTTGTCTACTAGTTAAAGCATGATTAACTTTTTTTCCTTAATGCAGCAAGACTTTTTCTTTCTCCCTAATCAGGATTGTTATTTTGGTGGTTCAGCTCTTTTAGGACTCCAATCACCTCCGATCTTGATTGGGCCGCCACTGTCTGTGGGAGTTTTAAAACTGCGATCTCTGTGGCCGCTACACACTCTTTCAACGGCAAGTGCTTAGGTGTGATGGCATAATTGAGATCCTTAATTAGTGAGTACCCGTATTCGGTGTTGTATGCATGTGCAGTTGGCCCTAGCCTAATCAGCGGAGTCTTCGTCCGAAATGGTCGATAATTCTTTCTCTAAATTAATGTTTTGAGCCCTATCCATGCTGTTTCGAGCCCTTAGTGTGTTGACAGGGCAGTACAGTTACAGTGTGACTAGAACTAACCCTTTACATCTAAGGGTGAATTTCAATGTCTAAATGTTTGGACTGAGGACTGCCCATATTTAAATCTAATTTTCGGAATGAGATTCTTCAGTGTGGTTTGAATAATAAATAATACGTTTGACTTGAAACAAACAGTACTTGAACACTTCTTTTGCGAGCTTTTGAAAACGTCTTTTTCCTTTGTCAAGAAAAGAGTGCATATGACCGGTTTTTCGACTCTAAACCACTTAAAACAACTCACTAAGTCACAGTGTGACGAAACATCTGTCGGAATATATTTACCATATATCGCCATGTAACAATCTTATACTACAGGCGGTCAAAGGGACGGGTGATATGTTTACCCTTTCCGCCCCTTAGAGGAACTAACTTCCCGATCCGTACTGATAGATTTTTAAACTTAGTTTAAGTGGGGACGTCGTAAACTTAAGCCCAAGAATTACAGCTAGATAATTGACGTCGGTCTTATTAATCGAGACCAGCCATCCGCATGCCCGTGTCGTGTCCAAGCTCGATGTACAATTTTCATACGAAATTGACAGAACTGTGGTAATCTAGCAATGTATCTGACCGTCTGGCTCCTTAAATTTCCGTAGCCATGTTCATTGCTCATTGTTATCTGTCCTTAAAACGAACCTACACTCATTCAGGTTATACTTGAAATACTTAGTAAAAGTAAACTACTACCAACAGTAGACACAGTAGTTTCTTTCTGGTTTGCCTTATGTCCGACAACCGTACGCGATAATACGCTCTTTACCATCCTGTTTTAAGGCACTCGCGTCTGTGTTTGATATGAACTCTCCTCCATCCACTTGAGAATACACTGAATTCGGGGAGCTCGAAACTCGCCATGCCCACCGTTTGTCTTTCTTAGTGAAGTCAAATTGGGGCTTAGCTATGCCACAGTAATAACAAATCCTAAGTGTATATAGATACCTGTCTTCATAAGACCGTATATATTTCCAGGGCGTTAAATCTCGAACAATAGAATAACCAAATACAAGTATCACTCAACAGATATATAGTAGGCTATACATCATTTTATCATTGTCACGATACAATTGGACTGCTGACGGGCGATTTTACAACACAGTGTTTCCAAAGATGCAGCTTGATGAAGACTATGGGCGAGTTTTACAGTCGCCATCACATTATCATCGGGATATGTAATATTTCTATGTTATTTGATTATGCACATATGTGTGCAATGGTTTTTTTTCTGTCACTTCTACAGCTCTCGCTTTGAGAACATGGTTATTCTTGGATTTGTTTAAATTTGCATGGTGGGTGTCGACGAAGAAGCAGAGGACCCCGTACATTCATAATGGTCTCCGTTTTAAAACTTTCAGAGTTCTGATTTCCTTGTTTTATCGATTATGAATTTGAATTATGGCGTAGTTCCCACTTTGATATGCTCTTATTTCATTGTTGAATGTTCACGCCTTTGTAAGATTTTGTTTTGTTGAACAATATCACTCAAATCCATTGTTACATTATATTTTCATTTCTTAGGTTTTCGGTCGACATGTACATTTTATACTGCCAAATATGCATACAGCATTTAATAATTTAGTGCTTAAGAATTCGTCCAACTGTAACATGATAAGGTAGTCCGTATTTAACATTTAATTTACGTGTGGGTTGTTGAATAAGGTTATTATGTAACGTATACGTAATGCTTTTGAAGGACATGTAGATGTTTGCCTGGCATTGAAACGACTGGAGTTTTACATGTGTTTGCGTCTAACCGACTGTTGTGTATTGCTACCTGATTTGTATATGTTCACCTGACTTCCTGATTAAGTCTACTCCACTACATGGCCTACATATATTTATATCTGACTTGTTCGTCAATAGTGTGCTTTTCGACGAGCTGGCCTTTCTCCGTCTCTCCCTGTAGCTTGCCTAATTTTTCTCTCTATTCGCTTGTATAAGTCCGGTCAAAAAAGGAAATCCGCGGGGATTTTTGGTTTAAACGTAAGGACAATTTTTTCATGTTCTTTTCATAATTCCCTTCGCAAATATGATTGGGGGACTTCTGGCAATGGCGACTGATGTTATTTTAGTGGTTTTTTTATGACGTCATGGAAATGGCGGCCATTGGCTATTTTGCTATTATCTACTCATATGTACCTGGCCTATTGTATCTGTTTTATGGATATAGCTAGGTACCTTATAATTTATACATACATGAAGGGAGCATGACTATTGTGATATAGTAAGCACTGCATACTTCACTACTTTGAAATGGACTCTGTGAACAGTGGACTTTAGTGACGTATTAAGTAACATTTTGGCACCAAAAGTCCTCGTCATTATGAGATCGTGTGATATTCTTCCAGCATTTGATAAAACTGTTGTGTCCTTTAGAATTGAAACTGTATCTTTCCTAGCTTTTTTTAGACTGTGGGCATTGAACATGTTGGTGGGCGAAGTTCTGAAAGGTTAATATTTTTGGTACAGCTACTGAAAAGGTATCTTGAATATATTTCTGTGATTCTGGTACAGCAATTTTTACGTTAAAATCTGATGATATTGTTAATTGATGATACACTTTCATTTAGCACTCTCCTCTTTTTAAAAGAGACTCCGAGTTGCAATACGGGTACGAGTAAGTTTTTTGGATTTTGTGTCGATTATATAAAACAGAACACCTCAAATTATCATCATTATCATATTCAGCAACAGCAGTGTGCTAGTATCCATTATGAAGGACAGTGTCATACTGTGCCATATTCCATCTTTGCGTATTGCAGAGTTATCTTCTCTTGGCAGCAGGGATTGATTTTAACGTCATTGGTTTGTGTGAGAAAATTACGTCGTTTTCTCAAAGATTGATGACGTTACTCTCACAAACAAGTGACGTAACAATCAATACCTGCTCACATGAGAAGATACCTCCGAATACGCAAAGACGGAATACGAGCAAACAAGTACCCGGGTACAGACTAGTACTAACTCACACAGGTACAACTACAGCATGGTGTATAGGCTGGCTAATGTTTCACTCACTCAGATAAGTGTGTTTTAGTGCATACCTTCTCGTCCCTCGGGAGTTATCACCACCAAGCTATTACTCGGGTAGGATCAATCCCGTGACACTCGATATCGATGTAGTCAACATAGAAATAATGCAGTAACCTATACTCACTATTCACTGTATATACCGTAAACAGAGAGTTCGTGTACTGTGTATGTTTACCAACTCATGTGATATGTAGTCACCATCGATCATTTCTGTAAATAGTATAATCCGGTCAGAATCGTGTAGTTGTGTTTGCACCCCCATATCATAATCGATTCAAGTTTATGTTTTAAATATCTTATGTAAACTAGGCGAATATTGACATAAATCCATTCTTAGCCGATTAAATAACCCCGAGAGGATCAATTACCGCAAAACACAACTATAGAGAATAATTAGACGAAGAGAAGCTGTTCACTCGTTCATGTACACCATCGACTTACCATATAGTATATGTTGTCATATGATGTTAATATAATCCGTTACAATTTACTGATTGTTTTGTAAATTTCATTGTAAGAGAAACTTACTGCGGTTCGAATGTAATGGTCAGGGCTGTGTAGTACTGAGTATTTTGGACTTAAACTCTGATAGCTATGGGAAATAAACTTAAGATTCGTATAATCTTAATACAAAATAAAACATTTTCCTTTTTCAACACCATTAATTAGATAGACAAATGTCAGGCCTTACTGGTTATTTTGTAAAGCTTACGCATTTCCGAACAGTTCAGTGTCGTTCAGTATGCACCTTTCCATATGAGATCGATACGAGTTTCCCCGAACCTCAGCTTCGTCTTTTAGGTCGTTTTGATAAAAAAAAAAACATAAGTCTCAACTACTTAAATAAAAATACCATTATATTTATTTATAACAGCTTTCGTGAGTCCCAGATTTTGCACTTCAATTGTGCCTTGTGTCCAAACCTTCATCCTTTGACGCGGTTATTGTGTCCCACTTATTAAGGATTCATGCTAAATGTATTGCACGTTTGCTTTGTGTTAAATGATATGATAGAAGCATTCTTCTCTACATACTTAATAGAATAAACTCACGAAGTTAACAAAATGATATCAGGGGTGTGCTATTTTCGCAGATCGTCTTAATATGTTCCTTATCATTATTTAATTATAAACAAAATCCTATTCGTTCCAGGCTATAGTCAAACGGTGTATTGTAATGATAATGGAATACACGTAGAACTGTTATTAACCCGATATATATTCAGTAAAGGACATCCACATCACGTTTTTGGCACCAAGCCAATTTCTGATCCAATATGTCTGTTAACTGTGTAGATAGTATATACGAACCTATTTTGGCAGCTATTAATAAGGTAAAATACATGTCAAATCTGTGTATGTACACACGGAGCTAGCTAATCAGACCGTGAATTTAACCAGTGTCTGCTGCTATTGAGTCACGTGTGTGTTTAAAGAGAGCCGAGTGTAGGGTGGGCACCAGTTAGAAGAGCGTCGTCCTAGGGTAGATCTGTATATACCGGGCAGGTACTGGTATCTGAGTCGGAGAAAATAAGACATGGCAACCGTAAGGATGTGGACCCTTGTGGGGCTGGCCCTACTGTGTACGATGCTAACTGTTCAGGCAGATGATGGTAAGCATTTCACGTCATATTTATTTTCGACTAATTCTATTATATTTTGGAGTAAATATATCGTTAAAATCATTACATCGTTTAATCTTATACCACTATGTATGGTGTTTTTTTTAATATAAATATCTGTTTTAAAAGTATGATCTTTTGTTATGTTTACGGCAACGATTTTTCCCGTTTAGAATATCTCATAATCAAAGTTGAGTCTGTATTTGTGTTATCACAATGTTTACGATTTTTACCTGTGTTTTTTTTAAATGCCAGTAGTAGAGCTACTTGCAGTGAACGTAGTAATTCTCATGTAAATAATTAAATTTGATTTTGTCACGTATTTTATAGTTTTAGAACCATAAGATGTTTTGTAGTGTTAGTGCTGGTAGTTAATCAACTCCCCTCTGAACTTTTGTTATTCTTTGCTATATGGTTATGTAGTTGTCGTGGTGCTTCTTTATCGGTCTATATATTTGTTATAAGATATTTCAGTTTTTAGTGGACCATATAAAGAAAATCTCTCCTCTTTAGACTTTACTGATGGCATATATATATATATATATATATCACATTTAACATTTAAACATTTTATCTAGTTAAATATTCCCCTGGTGCTTTTCTGTCTATTATAAATATACGTAGACACTTTGTTGATTCTATGTTGTAAATGTATGCCGTGTTGTAGCTTTTAATTACCTTCAAAACGAAAGACGCAAATAAACCTATTTTCAGATTTCGTTTCAGTTGTTGCGATGATTATTGGGAGGTTTGTAATTTAAAACCCAATAAACAATATAATATTGTTGACTATTTTGTATAATATATTACATCATTCAAGTATCTTTTCATATACAACCTTCTGTTTATATCTTGTACTTATAACTTCAGTTTTCAATGTCAGGACAAGGTAACAGGGATATAAGCAATGTCAACCACATTGTTTTTTTTGTGTATATGTTTTTGAGACATATACATAAACTGGACGTACAGTGCACACGTACTTACACATACAGACAAAGGCAAGGGTTTCTCAGCTATCATCAATGAACTGTTACAACATAATATATGTTGTAACTCGTATCTCGTCCCTTCTTTCTGGTGCTTGTCTCTCGTTAACTCACTTTATGTGATAGTGCATCTTGCGCAAGAATAGGTCCTCTACATCAGCGTTCCTTGTCCGCGATGCTCTCAGCTTAATTGCTGCCTTCGGCTGTCTTTAGCGAGGGGACTATTGGTTTTATATAATAGCTGTATTTTCAATTATAGTATATCAGTTCTATCTTCTTGTAATATGATGTATATGTACATGTAACTGTTCTGTTCCACTGTGTCTTGATAAAGGAGCTGATCGCTCCGAAAATTTGACAACCTAAACTTGTCCACACTGTTGGAATTACTTCTTTGCCCCATAAACATTATTTATGATGATATATTACAGCTTTGAGAATTAATAATAATATGTATATCTCCTGATGTTTTGTGACTATTTCTATATGTTTAATGGTTAAGATCAACACTCTTGTAAAACAAAAATACAATTTTTTTATACCTGTTTGTAAGCTGGAGTTGACCAAAAATATTTTATAATCTAAAGTTTGCTAATCGATCCTACCAATGGGGTATTTGCTGAGTGCCAACATTCTTTACTTCAATAGGCAATCTAATTATTAGATAGTGGCAAATTAATTATAAACTTTTCCATAAATGCTGCCCCTTTTCACTGAGATTAACCTTGTTTATAAAACACATTTCCTTGGATAATGTTTAAAATATTTGGTTTCAGTCTAACAACTTCTTAGCCTTAAAAATGTGTCCTCGTTATTAGAAGTGAACACTTTTGAAAAAATAAAAACAAAAACAAACAGAAAAAAAATAAAAATAAAAATAAAAGGTTAGTGTGTTTTGAAAATACTTGCTTAAGTTCCATCAAGTAAATTTACTTGCTAATTTATTTTTGAAATAAGAGAAACTATAATCGCTATCAAAATAGACTGCCTTAAGCTGAAATCGAATATGTTGGCTCTCTGAGATGGACCCGTGCCAGTTGTACAAGGGTTGTGCAACTAACCAAGCATTCCGTATTTTGGTTTTGTAGACGCAACCCCCGGCCCCGGTGGTGAGCACGGAAAAGACATGGAGAGAGACGGAGACGGTAAGTACTTGCGCCATTTAACGAGATTCTAACATTACAAACTCCGGCATAAAGCGAGAAAAAATGTCCGTTTCATTATTCTTACATAAGTCAATATATTCCTTTAACAGAAAATACGATATGGTATATATGCATTTCAGCGTATGATTATCTTTAATATGTGAAATTAGTTATAATGTTATATTATCTTATTATTACTTCAATGTACCTACCTGTTTGATATAAATTGAAAAAATACAATAACTACATTCATATAAGTCAAAGCATCAAAATGAATTCATAAAATTAGTCTTTGCCAAACTATTCACAATCTCGTGTATTTATACAACACATACATACAACACTCATGAAACTCGCAAAAATAAAAATGATTGACTTATTACTTATTTACTTTCTCTTCATTAAGACATTGACACAACATACGACCATGGGCCAATACAAAGTAAAACACATTTCAAAACATTTCTTAAAATAAAACTATTAAAAATGCAGAACATGATCTCATTAATGACTGACGCATGATACTGATGGTAAGACATATTTAAAACCAGGGTCAAGAATTAGGTACGTCAGCATGCCCACTCCCTTAAAAACCCGACAGCAAGGTTAATAGTACCATTTACGAGTTAATTACAAAAGCACTAACAATAAATTTAAAAGTAAATCAACAGGAGAAATTTTACGAAATGTCTGTCAAATGAAATCTGTGTTACGTCAAAAACGTAAAATATTATATTTGATGTTTTCAAACACAGTGAATTTTTAGGTAATGATCCAGATAAGTAGACTTCAGATATACAAAATATTAGAAAAAGAGGAAAAGTTCGAAATTTAAAATTTATGTTTTATGTATTTAGATAACAATGCGTTAATTTGCAACAACTCGTTTCAGATCATTTCGGCTACAAACACGACAAGGACGACGACGGCGACGATGATGATGATTGCGAAGATCACGACGACGATGACAAGGATGATCATGGAAGAAAGGGAGATGACATGCACAAGGAAGGCGACAAGGATGGTAAACACAAAGAAGATGGCAAAGAGGAACACAACGAGCACAGTAAGAACAAGAGATGTCGCCGCAAGAAAATAGCCAAGATCTTAATCATTGTCGGCCTTGGCATCGTTGTCATCGGCACTGGCGTCGGCGTGGTCATCTGGTGAGTACACTATGACGTCATTTATCCTTACTTGGATGGATAAAAAACAGTTACAAGAAATTAGTAATGTATATAACATTTAAATCAGTTTATATTATGAAGCAAAGTCGGATGCACGGCGAATATTAATAATAAAAAGTTACTCATTTCATGACATTTTTTTCGCTTATATAAGAATCTGCTCTTCTGATTTTTTTTTATTAACATCCTTTTTTGAGCAAACATTTTTTTAAAGAGGAAAATATTAGAAAATGAAAAATGCTATGTCATATTAGTGAGTTTTGGTGGTGAAATTCATCGTTTTCATAGTATGCAGATCTAATCGTACCTACCTTCCTAATCTATCCTATTCCTATGTTTGCATAATTGATAAACACATTACATGTATCTTCTATAATCTATATGGAAGGAAAATTACTTCATATTACATTTTGATACCAGAAAAGCAAATTAAGATACACCTACCCCTTATTTTTAAATAAAAAAGTACAACTTTTTCACCGTTTTTTTTTTTTTTTTTTTGCTTATTTAAAGATTGATTAAAAAGGACTGATGACCAACTTTTCTTAACATTATGGGTTTTTCTGTGCTATCTTTCAACGTTTGCCTGATCAAAAAACAAAAGGGCTTGAGTTCATATGAATGAGTAATGATAACCAATATTTCATAGTGATTTCATAATTTTGAACCTTATAAACTCGTACACCAAAAGTAAACTTGCTACATAATTAAATAATGGCGACCTAATGACACTTTTAGTGACGAATCTGGTGTCGAAAAGGAGAATTACTCAAAATGGCATCCGAATCTGTCGCTTTTGAAAACCTTGTAAATTAGTTCTGTGTCAAGTGTATACATATTGAAATTTAATCAAATGTTAAACTTTTATTAATAATATGATTTCTGAATGAAAACGACCATTTAATTTTGGAGAATTTATACACGGCCATGTTCCCTTGCAGTTGTGTGCGTCACAAACGTCAGATGAGAAGAAACGTAACTGACTCCAGGACAAATCTACATGTGCCCGGTGCCCGCGAGAATGTGTACATCGTCACAGACACCAAACCGCAGCAGGAGAAACCGTCCGTACTCGCCTTTCCCGTAGTGTCACACGCGCCCCTTCCAGGAAAGGAGTAAAGCACGGAGTGTGACCTGAAAATTACTCGCATCATACTGTGGACCTTGATAACAACTTATAGACGCAATCACCATGCGTTAAGAATGTTAAGAATTGACAGAGGGGGAGGAGCGATGTCGACCCCCATCTTTACTATGCATCAAAAGATTTCCAGGGAAATGATATTTTTTTGTGTTGTCTATGTCCAACCCTGGTGATAAACATGACGTTAGAGAATGAAACCCTCCCATGTGATACTAGTATATTCATGTCAATGCACGTGATTTTAGTTAGAATAAATTGTATCAAGCATCATTCCCGAGTAAAATCATTGATATCTCATATAAATTTGAATAGTTTGGAATTTTTCTTGGTATTTTTTGGTTTTTATGCATGTCTAACATGCACATTTTTGCAGCTGTATTAATCCAGAAATTATCACTAAATGAAATGATAGTTTGATATATAAAACCTAAATTTATGCTTGATACAAACTCTTCATATAAGTGTATGGTGTTGTCTGCGATTTCATGTTTATTTTTATTCTTATAGATTTACAACAAAAAAGAAAGATTTTCTCATTTTCTTGAATCAGTGTTATTCTTCATGTGTGTGGCTTTAAGCAGACAATAGATAAAATTCACCACAAACCAACATGTGTATTATCAATTTACACCATTGCAATTAACGTAGATATATATCTCAGAACTTCGTCATCTCAGCTTTCTTCGATTTCTCGAAGGTCTTATTATTGCTTACAATTTAAAAGTAAGATTGTGATCATTATCGTCCTTGCTTGTAGCTGACTTGTGTAAATACACATGTGTCCTGATAATGATGTTTGGTTGTTTTTTGTAATTAAAATCGTAAAAAATGTTTCTGAAATTTTGTGTGTTTTAATTACTTTGCAAGTAAACGTAGAACGACTTTTCTCGTGCCCATCTGTGCTGAACTTTGGATAACCTTGACGCGGCAAGACCCATTGTGTACACTCAACACATAAGCCGTCAGAAAATTGCACCAAACGATTGGAAAAGTGTTAATAATACATTCTGTGTACACGAACTCATTATCAACCTGCAGCCAAACTAGGTCAATATCTATGTATCGGGGACTACTATCGATTTGATAAACGCTTCGAAGACAATACACGTACAAGGTATTGTAAATATGGTAAGCAATAAAGAACTTGATTTATTTATATGAACTCGGTACTATGGTATTGATTGGGTTCTTGCGAGAACGAACACATATACATTTTATATATACCATAAACGCAGCGTATTTCGTGATGAAACCGCAAACTGTAGAAAACGCTGGCATTTTGTTTTGTTTATTTATTCAAAAGGTATCGACAGATATATACTTTTTTATTCATATATGTAAATTGTTCATGATACAAATTTTATGCTATGATCAATGCGTTAATAAGAGTTATTATCTACTACCAGGGTACGACATGCAGCGCAGTTCAATAGCATATGTGAATGCATTATCTTGGTATAAAATCTATGCTATATCTTATCGGGTAAAAACCACCTGACATACGAAGCCCTAGCTTAACTTAAGGGAAATTGATTTCACGTTCCACCTAGATACTTAAGTATGTTGCGTTTATAGGTGGTGAGTATATAACTTAAATACACACATGACCACAGCTGTTAACAGGATGTAAAACACAATCAAACCAAAAACAAGAGGCCCAATGGGCCTGAATCGCACATCTGGTATAAATCTCACATTTGTAATCTTAAAAGTGGACTAGAATACAGCTACAGAGTTTATAGCCTTCCGACACAGCATGTTTCTGGCCAAATATCATTACCCTGGACCTTTTGGATATTTAGAACAAGTCATTTAAAGATTTAAACATATTTGATCCCTGTGACCTCGAATATGAGCAAAGGTCATTCATTTGAACAAACTTTGTCGCCTTTCATCCCAGCATCTAATAAGCAAAATAGCATAACTCTAGGACTCTAGGTAATTCAGAATAAGTCGTTTAAAGGTTTTTAACATATTTGACCCCTGCGACCATGAATATATGTCAAGGTCATTTGTTAGAACAAACTTGATTACTCTTTAACTCAGCATGCTACTGGCCCAATACCATCATCATAGGCCTCATGGTTATTGAGAAGAAGTTGTTTAAAGGTTTTAAAATTATTACTATTTTTGAAAACAGGTGAAGGTCATTTGTTTGAACAAACTTGGTAGCCTTCATCCCAGCGTGATACTGGTCAAATATCATTAATCTAGGCTACTTGTGTATTCAGGAGAAGTTGTTAAAAGGTTTGAACAACTTTGACCCATGTGACCTTGAACATTGGTGAGGGTCATTTGTTTGAACAAACTTGGTAGCCCTTCATCCAAGCATGATACTGACCAAATATCATCATCCTAGGCCTTTTGGTTATTGAGAAGAAGTCGTTTATAGATTTTGAACATAATTAATCCCTGTGACCTTGAATAAATGGCAAGGTCATTCATTTGAACAAACTTGGTAGCCCTTCATCCCATCATGTTACAGGCCAGATATCATTATCCTGCAAATTTTGGTTATTCAGAAGAAGAAGTTTAAAGATTTTAAACATATTTGATTTTTGTGACCTTGAAAATAATTCAAGGTCATTCATTTTGAATAAACTTGGTAGCCCATCATCCTAGCATGCTACTGGCCAAATATAAACATCCTGGGCCTTTTGGTTATTGAGAAGAAGTTGTTTAAAGTTTTTTTTATAGACAATTGAACCCTGTGACCTTGAATATAAGTGAAGGTCATTCGTTTTGAATAAACTTGGTAGCCCATCATCCTAGCATGCTACTGGCCAAATATAAACATCCTGGGCCTTTTGGTTATTCAGAAGAAGTTGTTTGAAGTAAAATATTGACGTAGGACGGACGACAGACGGACGACGGACGCCGCACCACGGCATAAGCTCACTTGGCCCTTCGGGCCAGGGATATGCACCAGACCAATGAGGTATTGATATGAGGCATCATCATGAGGTCTCCTGTTCTGGTTTGCTGGTGTAACCCTATGCTTACCATTTCAATATAACGTGTCTTAGCACGAATCATCCTTTGCAGGAAGCCTCCCTCGATATATACCAGCTAAGTCATAACGGATTGGTACTTTTTGGCTGTATACTACCTTTGTAATATGTTTATGTACGAAACACTCTGGCATCCTCGAAATGACCTTATTCACCCCTGCAATTTCACAATGAAATATTGCAACCTTTGAATTGGAAGAGTTCAAATGTGTCTTCAGGGGTGAATGAGTTAAAGGGCCTCGCTCTCGATACAGACAGATAACTTTTATTATCAATTTCTATGACAAGGGTCAACCACTAGGGGGTGTCGGTGGATAACGTTAACGAGTAGCGCTTATAATATATTGTACACTGTCATCCTGTGTAATGTCACAAACCTATCGATTTCAGAAAAAAAAATTGGAGTACATGTGGGCAGATTGGTCACAGTGGAATCCCTGATATATACGAGAAATCAGATACCCTGTGGCAGAGGGTTTAGAAACCAAACGATATCCTCAGGGGTTCGTTCTAGTTAAAACTGGATTTTACCAATTCATTTCTAGTTTTTAAATATGTAAATCGCAACGAAAAAACACGGGTCTTTGGTGTTGGTTTGTTTATTATTGTTATTGTACAATCGATATAATCAAGTGAGGGTCAATAAATATGATCTATATATATATATATAAAGAAATAAATCACACACACCGATCGGATTTCCTTAGTACTTTCATCTATTCCGAACAAACATGATTATGACAGCAACCCAACACAGAAAATGATGTCATCATACTTAAACAGGCGTACTGACGTCACAATAAATGCAACAAAATACGTCAAAACTAAAATGTAATTAATGGTCATAATCTAATCATCAAATATTATGATATTGTGATACATCATAATTACAGATCAAATGAGAAGTTCCAGGCATGACACTACATACTGCACTCGTCAATAAAATCCATCAGAAACTCCTTTAAGTTATACAGCAACTACTCATGTTTTAAGTTATTGATTTACACTGAATCTTCTGTCTTTCTTTATATTAGATCTTCTGTAACTTGATTACAGGTGAAAAATAAACTCTATTATTTGTAAGCCGATAAATTCACTGTTAAAATTCTCACGTTTTTGTCCACTATAAAAACAAAACAAAAACCCGATGATTGAATAAATAGCAATTAAAAAATTACAGTTTCTATTTGTGTTCACTTTGAAATCGATTCTATATCTTTTTATGCCTATTCTTCCCTGACTACGCGGTATTTTTTCTGTTAAATGTAGACTCAGGCGAATTTGGTTCGAAGAAATAAACTTATAATTAAAAGCGCACAATAATATGTTCGTGCTTTTCAAACATATTGCCATCCTCAAAAATCACACTTTAAACAAAATGTGTTCGTAACTTGAAGGGCATCGAATAATTGAGCCATGTAACACAATATATTTCAATTGATTTAAATATGATAAAGATCAACAATTTTACCTTAACATATCTATACAACATTTCCAAATGCCGATATTGTAGATAGCATTGTCTTCTTGTGTCACGACAACTCATTCAGTTTGTGGGATTTAAAGTTTTATTTTCGTAACAGAATCGTGACGAGAAATATGAAGACCTGTATCAACTACCTCACGAATTTTATGAATAAATATACCCGATGTAACGCATGACAGACGGCACAGAGTTTGACAATACCTACATGAGTCGTCGCCCTTTATGTACAGAAAATGTGACGCCGTTTAATTTGCCTTACTGAATTTTTTTAGTCTGCATATTTAAACGATGAAAAAAGTTTCCACAAAATATATATAGATATATGACTGATAGTTTATTAAGAAATAACACCAGATTCTATATATCAGTAGGACAGCGGGAAAAATACAATGGTGCGTTGAAATATCGATTGCTGTTTGATATTTCAAGTACTTGGTAATTGAACGTCAACAATTTTTAAAACGGATACTGCATTTTTGGCAAGCGTACGTAGTGCCTTTCTAAGCACGATACTGTTAATTAAATTAGCTAGCAAATATCATAGACACCAATTTGAAACAGGAAATTGAAACGGCACAAGACCGAGATTCGTAACCAGAACAATATAGCTAATTTCCAGAAGACCTTCAACTGCATGCTTTGATTAAGAAAACCAGTGAGTGAATGATTGCATATTCCCGGCAATATAGGACTATTATGTATCAGTGACACCAAACTATCAAAACATCAATTTTATAGCTAACCAAACATTCTTCAAATAAACATATAACTCATGGGAGATCAGCTGATACTCGCCTGTAACAATTTAAACAGTATTCAGTTTCTTCAGTAATTGGTGTTGTTCCCCTTGAGCAGGTAGGACATTATCTTGTAAAACAATGGCTGCCGCACATCAATATAACTCGTAATGAAACAAATACTATTATTGTTGCCTTTTCCTTAATTTACTTTTACTGAAAATTATGACATTTGATTCTTTCAGTAATATACTTTGTTCAAATGTGTGACTTCACATTAAAATGCGAATTTAAACATCCACTAAAAGAACATTGGGTTTCAGATGACAAGGGAGGAACAAAGACTTTGTACCACCACACAACTAAGGAGGAAGCTATGTAGATATGGAAAATCAAAAACTGTTCGTTGTAACTATTCATTAATACGTAAATACATTAAACAAGGATACATGTACTCGATTAAATAATACGACCCCAGCAACATAGACGTTCTATGATAAAATACATAATTTATATGTAAGCTTAGACTTTCGGTAGCCTGAACACTATTAGTGGTGATACATTTTATCCCTCTAATAATTATAATTGAACATATTATA